GCAGGCTTCCCGCCGAGCAGGGAGCCCGATATGGGGCTCGATTCCAGGACCCTGGGATCACGACCCGAGCCGAAGGCAGACGCTTAACGACTGAGCCACCCAGGCGCCCCCACAGCAGCTTTACTTCTAATAACCAAAAACTAGAAACAACTCAAATGTTCAACCAGTGAATGGCTGAACACACTGTGTTCACGTTGTGTTATATTCACACAACTGAATACCGCTCAGAAATAAAAGGAAATGAACTATTGATAGACAAAACAATGTGGATGAATCACAAAACCATTATGTGGAGCGGAAGAAGACAGGCAGGCAGACAGGAAACATACATACTATATAATTCTACTTATCTAAAATTCCAGAAAATGTAATCTACTCTGTGGTAACAGAAAGTACAACTGTGGTGACCCAGGGATGGGGATGGAGGCAGGGATAGATTTCAACATGAGGAAACTTTTTGAGGTGATAGAAGTCTACACTGATCTTGATCATGGTGATGATGTCATGAATGTATTCTCCCATGCATTCAAATGGTATACGTGGAATACGTACAGCTCATACTTCAATTACATCTCCATAACGTTGTAAACAAATCCACAGAACCTATCTGTTCAGTGTAGGAACTACACAGGAATTTCAGTATTGTCCCCCTGAGAGTAAATCTGAGTCAGAAACGCCTCATCACAAAGCTTGACAATCCATCTCGTCCAGTGTGCTTCAAGCTGCCGGTTGTGACCCAATAATCAGCCAAGAAATCAACTTAGCAGACTGAAACTGCCTTTTTTTATAATGGGATAAAATTGGCTGTAATAGAAAATATTAAAGTGGCTCAAATGTAGCAAGGGCACCTATGATTTATAAAACTAGTATTACATGTATATTTATACTTCTATATAAATAGATATAATAGACTACAATGAATTATGTATTTTATCAATTCTAAGATCGAAGTTTCTTTTTCCCACCAATCTGAAATCTGGATGTGATGTATAATCTCTTCTGTGGCATAGACTAATTGGTAGCTTCTGGAGAATACAAAATAATGGTATGTCTTACAATCAAGGCATTAGACTGAGTGAAACACAATAGCTATTTCTTCCTGTGGGTTATGGCAAATAACATCTGAAAACCTCTGACCTAACACAGTCTCAACACCTTTGAAGAATCACGTGCCAGTCAGCAAAACGAAAATCAGAGTAGCTGCCAAGTATCTTATCAAATGATAGATTATAAATCTCATTGCTTTGAAAATAATCAGCGATCCTACGTTCATGGCCACGGGGTCAGTCCTCAGGACAGATTCTAGGCCACAAAAAAAATGAGTCTGATGAGTGATATTGGAGAACTTTAGACTCTGGCCGAAAGCTAGTAAATGTCCACAGATTTACCAAACAAGGTCAAATAAAATATCGTTAGGACCGGGATTCCCCATACTTGCATTATAAAGTTGTTTAGAGGGGCACCTGGGTGGCTCAGTCGGTTAAGCGTCTCCTTTGCCTCAGGTCATGATCCCATAGTCCTGGGATCGAGTCCCCTATCGGGCTCCCTGCTCAGTGGGGAGCCTGCTTCTCCCTCTATCCCTCCCCCCTGCTCATGATCTCTCTCTCTCTCTCTCAAATAAATCAATAAAATCTTTAAAAAAAGGGGGGCACCTGGGTGGTTCAGATGGTTAAGCATCTGCCTTCGGCTCAGGTCATGATCCCAGGGTCCTGGGATCAAGTCCCACATCGGGCTCCCTGCTCCTTGGGAGCCTGCTTCTCCCTCTGCCTCTCTCTCTCTCTGTCTCTCATGAATAAATAAATAAAATCTTTAAAAAAAAAATAAGTTGTTTAGAGAACTCTGGCCATAGAATATGAGCGACAATCACAAGACTAACTACAAATAGCCAATAAGCAGGTGAAAGCATGTTGCAGCTTCTCTTGCATACAGGTGACATGCCTCTGTCACAAAGCAGGAGAGACAAGCTCTAAGGACTCACTGCGGTCAGGTAGCTGGTATAAATGTCTATGGTGAGCTAAGATGTCAGAAACCTGAATTTTGTTGAAATCTTCCAATTTCTAAAAGAAGATAACTTGAAAACGTTTTAAATCCATTTTTTGCACAGGATCTTAGCCAAAAGGCCAAGAAGTGGTTAAATCTATTTGTTGAATGGATAATACATTCAAATGACTCACAATTCATCCATCGATAAGAGTGTATGTATATATACATATATATATCTTTACGTATTTATCTTATATGTGCACGTGTGTGCATGTGCGCACACACAGTAAAATATTACTCATCCATAAAAAAGAATGAAATCTTGCCATCTGTGACAACATGAATGGACTAGAGCGTATTATGCTAAGTAGAACAAGCTGGACAGAGAAAGACTGCCATATAATTTCACTTATATGTGGAATCTAAAAACAAAGAAAAAGGGGCGCCTGGGTGGCTCAGTTGGTTAAGCATCTGACTTCGGCTCAGGTCATGATCTCAGGGTCCCGGGATCGAGCCCCACGTTGGGCTCCTGGCTCAGCGAGAGCCTGCTTCTCCCTCTCCCTCTGCCTCTCCCCCGTTCATGCTCTCTCTGTAGCTCTCTGTCTCAAATAAATAAAATCTTATAAAAAATTAAAAACAAAAAACAAAAAAACAGACTCAAATACAAATGTTTTAAAATTCAAATTACAAAAGGAATCCAGCAAAGTCTCCCTCCCTCCTCATTCCATGCCCAAGAAAACCAAAGTTATCCGTTTCTTGTCTATCCTTCCAGATCTATGCTGCGTACAAAGAGGCTGATACATATTTGAGGGCATAACCACCCTCCTCCCAATCTCAGTAGTATATTATACATGCTGTTCTAGGACCTGATTTTTTGTTGTTGTTGTTTTTGCCAGTTCATCTTGGAGGTTGCTCATCATCAATACATAAAGAGCTTCTTCCTCTGATTAAATTGTTACTCTATGATTTATCATAATTTATTTAACTAGTCCCCTATAGATAGATGTTTAGGTTGTCCTTATACTTTTGCTATTATAAACAATGTCACTGAACAACGTTGAGCACATGTCACTCAGACATGTACTAAATATCTGGAAGATAAAATCCTCGACAAGGAATTATGTGTGCATTTACAATTTTGCTAGACGATGCCATGTGGTCCTCCCAAGAAATGCTACCAATTTACAGTCCCACCAGGAATTAAGAAGTATATTCCCTGTATACATTCAAACTTTTTGATCTCTTGCCAATCTGCTAGATGAAAAGTGGTACTCCTATATTGTTTACTTTCTTCT